CCAGAAGAGGGAGGAAAGACTCGACGAAACGTCCCTCGCCTTTCGCGTCAGAATTAAACGGGCGTCATCGTCGCGTGTCTTATTTCTATAGGTCGCGCGTGCCTATTATACGCGGTCGAGGATTTTTCTTTATTTTTTTGTCGGTTCGATGTCGACGCCGCCGGTGAAAACTCGGATGTGCGAAGAGCCGGGGTCGGGGCCGGTGGCGAGAAAAAGGGAGGGAGAATGTAATCGAATATCCTAGAATTTAATTCTATCGGTTCGTCCCGCGCGCGTTCGACTTTCATATCGCGCTTTTTTGCGACAGTCATTAAATCTAATTTATCGCGACGGCCGTGTCGCGTTTCAGGGATGCGTACCGGGGAGGTGCCGAAACGAGGGAGGCCGTGTTTCCGCCATTCGATTCTTTCGCGTTCTTTCGCCTTCTCCGTTCGGCGGTGGTCGCGCCGCGTCGACAGCATCGTAGCGTCGTTTGTCTCGATTCGCGAGCAATTTGAACCGGCGAGGGTGGCGTTAGTTAAAAGCAGAGGGGTCGAAAAACGGTGCGGATCAGGATGGAGTGTATGGAGAAAAAAAGGCGAAAAGACGCGGCGTGGCGTGGCGCGACGTGGCGCGCGATCGATCGATGATCGAGCGAAACGAGGAGTGAGAGCGGCGGGAGAGTGTCGTTGGCGGCGGTGCGCGCGCGGTAGATAACGACGAGAGGTTATAAATCTCCTTCCGGTTGGAATCGGGAGCGAAGCAATCTGCGGAATGGTCCGGTCATCCGTCCATCAAGTCACGCGTACCGCGACGTACAGTCTACGTATTAATATATCTGCGGGCCGGAGCGGAGATCCGCGTGCACCGGCACACGCACACCTACACTAGGACAGGACCGCGTTCGCTCGTTCGTTCGTTCGTTCGTTGCCGGCTGCTAAAGCGCTCTGCTCTGCTCCGTGCCGTGCCCCGTGCTGTGCTGCGTCCTCTGCGGCTCTCTGCACCGTGTATCGTGTATCGTGTATCGTAGATCGTGCATCGTGTATCGCGTATGCCGTAGGATGTATGGTGGACGACGCGTATATCGCACAGGATAGGGTGCACACACGGTGTTCGGTGCGTGGCGCGCACCGCGTCGCAACCGAGTCGCGATGCGTCCTGTATTTATGCGCGTTTCGATGGGAAAAGGCAGCGCGCAACTCGGACGCGACGCAAGATAATTTCTGATTTACCGCGGCTTCGTCGGACCTGTCGCCCGACGTGCATACCTACGTCGCGCACCCTCATCCATCCTGCCTCGCATTTTCAAAATGGAAACTTTCCTATCGCCGGGACCGATTTCACGACCGTTTTGCGGACGATAACGCGAATCCTGGCAAACCTATCGAGACGTACGGCTCTCGTAGGGTTTCGAAACAGTTCGAATGCAGGCGGTATTGCGCGAGGCACGGGCCCGTCGCGTGCAACAGAGAAAGGTTAGAAAACCCTTTTCGCGGCGGGGCGAAAGCCGCCAAGGATCAGAGGCTGGCGCTCCACGAGGCGAATAACGACGTTACACGAAACGAAACGGAAAGGCGATTAACCGAGAAAAGAAGCTGCGTGAGAAGGAAAGAGGGGAAGGAGAGACAAAGTTAAGCGGTCGGGCGCCTATACGGTCCGGTTACCCTGGGATTATATTCCAAGTATTGCCATTATGCCAAGAGTTTCCTAGGAAGGCAATTTTCGAAATATTTAAAACACCATGCTCCCTAAGCCGTCCCTTATTATAAAATAGTCTCTAGGAATGGCGGCCACGTAACACAGACCCAACTTCTCCGCGATTCCGACTAGCTTCAGTTTCGACTGCGTCCTCTCCTCTTTCCTTCCGTCGAGGTCGCACCGTGAAATTATAACCGTTGGACGCGCACCGCCGCTACATACCTACCAATTTCTCCCGGCTGCGTCCTTCCCGCTTGAACCGCGAAGACGCGCACGGCCTCCTCGAATCTCGCAAAAACTAACTCTACCTGCGATCGCCGCAAGGTACGTAACCTAGGCCGTCGTGTTTGCGTATCGTGGGGGATCGCGTGCAGAGGCAGGGAGCAGAAGAGCAGCCTAGACGCGCGAAAACCTTAGCTATTTTTCTGCAACGACTTTAATCGAACGACTGGTTATAATTATCGGCGTACGGATCGCAACATAAGATCGGAACCGCGATAGACGAAAACCCTCGATCACGTTTTGACGGGCGGCGTAATCGAGTAGGCGAGCGCAGACGGTCGCAGCTTTTTTTCTCTAGACGAAGGGGTAGCCGTCACACGCGCATTTTAATACATCAAACTTTTCAATTTTGCCGCGGCTCGTATCGCGCGGCGTGCACCCTCGATATCGCGCTGCCTCCTGATATATCGCTTAGCTGGCCCGTTACGCGTTCATCAACGTGGAATCGATACGCGTGCGTACAGGCGAACGCGTAGACGTTCGACTGCGAGGCGGCCCGTGCCCGCCAAAACACAATCAAGATCGTGCACGGCAAAAACACTAATTTAAACGGAACGAAGGAAATATGTAGTCGCATCCGTTCTGTATCACGATGAATGGCGCTCGCCGGGTTACTACGATTCACGATTTACCGTTCTGCCACTTTTTTCCTCCCTCTGCTCTGCTCTTCTCCCTCTTCGTCTAGCCATCGGGCCGTGTGTCTCTCGAACCACCGACGACGAACGGCATCGATGCAGAAGCAGAATCAAAGGGGGAGACAGACGCCGAAGGAGAGAGATGATAGATAGATAGGTAGGTAACGTATAGTAAAGCCGTTATTGCCAAAAAGGATAATGCGAGGGAAGATTAAATTTTTTTTCTCGATTCGCCCTTTCAGGCTTCACCGGCCGCGCGAACCAGCGTGTCGTATACGACTCGCGAACGATTCTCGGCGAGGAGAGCGGTGAGCGACGTGTTCGTTGCCCTGTTCGCGAGAGAATCCCCGAGCGATCGGAGTTAAAAGACAATTTATATTTAAATTCCGTTTCATTAAAGCTCTTAATCTCACGATGTTACACGGTGTAGCCGGCCGGATGCGAGCGCGCTCGACCTCCTAGGCAGACGCGTCGCGAGCTCGGACGAGCTCAGACGAGCCGAGGCGAGTCGGGGCGAGCCGAGGGAATTTATTTTATCGGTTGTAATTTTCCAGCGTGAATCGGCCCTTGGACGGATTTTAGAGCTGAACCTCGAAATGCCGGAACGTACGTACCTCCTATTTGGTTTACCCGCATCAATTAGGCATTTTAATCGGAGAGACCTCGCGCCGGTATCGCGGAATAGTTGCGATATACTAGCGTATTACGATACGAGCTGGCATGCCCGGAGAATTGGAACGTGGTTGCGTTAACATAATGGAATTCCACGGAATGTTATACCCATTATACATAGCCGATTGCGTCACCACGCCGATATATACCTACGATAGAAAAATAATACTCGGCCTCCGACGTCCGACTCGCTTCAATTTTGCACTTTGCTCAGCAAACGACGATCCCTTCATATTTACCGATTTTTTTCCCTACCTAACTGCCTGTCTGCCTGCCTGCCTGCCTGCCTGCCTGCCTGCCTATCGATCTCTTATTCCGTTACGACGGATCGATCGAATTCGACGACATTTATAGTTCACTTAGCGCGCGTACTTGTTCTCGTATCTTGGTTCGCTCGGAACGGTAGGAAGGAGGAGAAAAGAAAGGTGACTGATTTTTCGGGTAATATCGCGTGGCTTGCTCGAAAAGCGGGCGAAGGGTAGTCGGACGAATTGCGAACGAGGCGAGGCGAGGCGAGGCGCGGTTACTAGCTGTTCGTTTAATAACTTGCGCCGGTGGCGAACGATAAATAATGCAGGAGACACCGTCGTCCCGATGTAATTAACGAGAACAGTCGATACCCGGTGTGTGTCACGTATGCGCGAACGAGCGCGTAGTCAATATTTGTCATTCGTTTCAACAAAAAGAACGTTACAAAACGGTCGGATGCTCCGCGTCCAAATATTGACTATGCTCATTGACGTTCATTGATACTCTCAATTAGTGCACACCGTCGAAGCCGATCGCCGGGTAATTGGACCTCTCCGGCAAAGGCTCGCCGCCGGCCTCTTCCCGTTAGACGACGTTCCGCGTTAAAACATTCCGCCGTGCTGTCGTAATTGGGAGTATCGGCGACCCTAACCTACGATTTCTGGCCTCCTGCAGCCAGGCGTTTACTCTCTCTGTCACCACCCTCTCTCTCCGGGAACCGGCCATCACCCTCCAATTATAAACGCGTCACCTTTTCCTCGTGCCTTTCTCCACTCGGAGCCGCGGCAGAGCCACGAGACAGAGAGAAGCCTCTTCTCGCGAATTCGCCGCCCCGCAACCCACGTCCCACCGAACCGACGTTCCGACAGCCGCGAAACTTTCCGGGTAAAGCAGCCACCACCGCGAATCTCGTTAACGCTGCAAACCTAATTACCAACTTTGAAAAACGTTTCGACGTCCCATTGATTTTTTTCCGCGTCCCTCTTTCGCCGCCAAGATTTCTCCTCCGGGTAAACAGCTCTCGATTTAATTGCCAGAATTCACTCTCTCTCTCTCTCTCTCTCTCTCTAGTCCAGGATTTTTCCACGCGAAACACCACCTTTCCTACGCTTTTTCTCCCGGTGTTTGCGACAGACGTTCTCTCTAGCTCTGGCTCGAAAGGAGAGTAGAGGGACCCGAGAGAACGGTCCGCGAGACAGAAAGGAAAGGAAAGGAAAAGAAACGAAAAGAGAAGAGATGTTGAAACTCACCCTTTCCTCCTCGCGAATCATCTCGGCGATGCCGGGCTTGATCTCGAGATCATCTGGTGTCGGTTGACCGGGAACTCCCTGCTGATGGTGTTGCTGCTGCTGCTGCTGTTGCTGCTGTTGTTGCTGCTGCTGCTGCTGCTGTTGCTGCACGGTGAGCTGCTGGCCGTGAGTGGCCAGGTGGTTGACGGAGGCGTGGGGACCGGAAGTCACGTGGCCGGGCACGTGGTGAGCGGACACCGAGTGCGAGCTCTGCTGGCCCTGGGGGGGCGGTGGCGGCGGCGGCGGCAGGGGCAGCGATACCGGAAGTTCCTGGAGGTTGATCTGCGGCGTGACCGAGACGCTGGGCGTGCCGGGGGATCCGAGGGATCGCGGAGTCGAGCTGCTCTGCAGCATGCCGTGAATGTCGGGCACGATCACGCCTCCTCCGCCGTTGCTCGGGTCCTGGTCATCCGGAAGCGAGCCGGACGCGATTCGATCCGGACTGCTCGCCGGCGGCGATCTCTCTCCGGATATTCGGCGTCGTTTCTTCCTGTGCATCATCGCCGCGTTCGCCGCCTCCTCCAAGCTCGACCTCGACGTCAACTCTTGTTCGCTGTTCACGTCCGCCAACCCGCGAATCTTCAAGCTCTCGGCCACCTTCAGCAGCGGCCCGATCTGCTCCTGCGACACGTTGATCTCCCCCTTGTACATGAACTCCACCGCGGCCTTCAACTCTGGCCACTTGATGTCCTTCATGATCACGATCGGATGCTGGCATGGATTGTCGAAAAAAAGCGCCTGGAAGTAAGGACTACACGCGGACAACACCATCTTGTGGGCCTTCACGCTGTGCCCGTCGCAGGCAAGGGTCACGTCCACGAAGCTCTCGCTTTGCAATAGCTGATCGAACACGTTGGTCAGATTCGTCTGATAGTTGTTCCACCTGAGGCAAAATTGCTGGGGGGACCCAGCGCCGCTCTGTTGCGTCATGATGTTTTCGCCAGATGATTTCGTCGAGTCTCGATCGCTTCCTCTTCCGTTTCCGTTTCTCTCCACCTCTTCCTCCTCCTCCTCCTCCTCCTCCTCCTCCTCCTCCTCCTCCTCCTCCTCCTCCTCCTCCTCCTCCTCCTCCTCCTCCTCCTCCTCCTCCTCCTCCTCCTCCTCCTCCTCCTCCTCCTCCTCCTCCTCCTCCTCCTCTTCTTCTTCCTCCTCCTCCTCCTCCTCCT